CAGGGTACTGAAGAGCAATGGTGTCACTCTGAAGACTAAGGTGCATCTGATACAGGCTATGGTCTTTGCAATCACTTGTTATGCATCAGAGAGTTGGATAATGACTAAGGAGGATAGAAGGAGAATTGATACCTTTGAGCTGTGGTGCTGGAGAAGAGTATTGAATGTACCATGGACTGCCAAGAAGACAAACAGATTCACCCTGGAAAGGGTTAAACCAGGCTTCTCCTTGGAGGGAAGGATTCTGAGGCTTTGTCTGACATACCCTGGACATGTCATAAGGAGGAAGAGGTCATTGGAGAGGGACATCATGCTTGGGAGGGTGGAGGGACGGTGCAGAAGGGGAAGACCCTCTATGAGGTGGATGGATTCAGTGACTGGGGTAATCAGGATGGGTGTGTCAGAGGCAGTGAGACTGGCACAGGATAGAGCAGGGTTTAGGGTGTTGTACAAAGGGTCGCTATGAGTTGCAAGTGACTTGACAGCACATAACAACAACAACAACAACAAAAACAACAACAACAACAACAATCACCATGGGTGTTGATTGTAGATCCAAGTGAAATTAATTGACAAATCCGATCTTTTATTCTACTATCATGATGTTGCCTACTAGTCCAGCAGTGAGGATTTTTTTTTTCTTGGTGTGGGAAGTAATCTATACTGAAGGCTGAAGTCTTTCATCTTCTGCAACAAATTTTCCAGTTCTCTTCACTTTTAGCAAGCCTGGGTCTTCTTCATAACACAGGTAGTTGATGAGCCTTCCTCCAATCCTGGTGCCATTTTCTTCTTTATATAATCTAGCTTCTCAAATGGTTTTCAAAGCATACAGATTGAAAGTTCTAAAGAAAGGATACTACCCCAATGCATATCTTTTTCTAATTTTAAACCATGAAGTATTTCTTATTCTGTTTGGATAATAAAAGCTTCTTGATCTATATATAGATTTTGAATGGACACAATCAAGACTAAGGATTGCCAAGTCATGTTGTAGTTGTGTTCTGTCGAGTGAACTGACCCATAGTTGACTCGCCAGCAGGTTTTCAGAGGCAGTTTAATCACACAGGAGGAGATTGACCATCTTTCTTCCACAAAGCAGCTGGTACTATGATTTGAACTATGTACTTTGGGGATGGCAGCACAACTTCTTATCACTAGGCCACTAGAGCTCCTTGATCCTGGCCATTGTTGCTGTTGTGTGCCACTGCATAAGAACCAACCCATAGGTGACTCTTCCAATGGGTTTTCAAAGGCAGAAATTTCATGGAAAGAGATTGCCTATCCTTCTGCTGCAGGGCAGCCTGTGGGTTCAAACCGTGTGCCTTTGGGATTGCAGCACAGTTTCCTTACTACGAGGCCACCCACGCTTTCAATTACTTCTCATGCATCAGAAAGTTGGACACTGAATAAGGATTATAGAAGAAGAATTGATGCCTTTGAATTTTGGTGTTAGAGAAAATTGCTGGCTATTCCATGGACAGCCAAAAGACCAAATAAATCTACCTTGGAGGAAGTGCAACCAGGATAATCCTTAGAGGCAAGGATGGTGCATTTTTGTCTCACACACTTTGGGCATATTGTCAGGAGGGGCCAGTCCTTAGTAAGAGACATGATGTTTGGAAAGGTGGAGAGTCTGAGAAAGAGAAGGAAACCTGTAACAAGATGGATTGTTTTGGTGGCTGTAACAATGGGCTCAAGCAGATTGTGAGGGTGGAGAAGGATAGGGCAAGGCCCTGTTGTTCATAGGGTTGTTATAGGTTGTATTCGACTTAATAGATCCAACAACAATGAGCATTTAGATTAATCTCCTTGCAGCTCCTTTATATAAACTTTATGGGTTTTACTTTCCAAGATAACCCAGTTTAAGACACTAGCCATGAAGGAATAAGATGACTATATAAGTGAACGTTAAAAACAATATGCTATGTTAAGCATAAGAAACTTAGCACAAAGGTCAAATGCCATATAATTCCATTTAGAGGAAATTCTAGGACAAGTAAAACTCAGAACAGTGGTTCTATGCACGGGTGCATGTAGGGTGGCAGAATACCGAGAGGAAGTGCAGGATGGGCAGATTGACCGCAAACAGGCAGACAGACCTTTTGGCTTGAATCATTCTGTTTCTTCTATATATACAGTAAAATTTGTGAAAGCCAAAACCAGTGTAAGATTAGAACTTATCAGAGAAGGAACAAAAATATTTTGTGCTAAAATAAGTGACTCAAAGTGGAAAGACTACCTGGTCAAAGGTGGAAACTATGCAAGATCCTGAGAGCACTGCAGTCCTATAGAATTCAACTCTCTCAGGTTCCACTGTATATGTAAGGATACACATGCTCCCTTTGCCATGAGTTCTATAATTATCAGTGATTTGATGATCAAATAAGATAATGAATATCAATTACTCTGAGCAATATTCTTTGCTGTAAAACACTAAACAAAGGCTTAAAAAGAATTAGCATCAATACCGTTTTCACAGGGGGTGGGTATGAACACGTGAGAAAAAACAACTAAATCATATAGAAGGGATCCAAGAAGACTGTAGAGCTGGAAGATGTGCGGTTGTGGACAAAGTACTAAAACTAATGAAACAAAATATGTTAATAATAGCTTTTACTTACTGAGTGTTAGACACTGTTCTAAGTACCTTATTGTTGTTAGGTGCTATAATGTCACATACAACCCATAATGATCCTATTACCAACAGATCTGAACCCTCTTCTGTCCTGTGCCAGCCTCACACTTCCTGATACACCGGAGCCCATTGCAGTAGTCACTGTGTTAATTCACCTGGTTGAGGGTCTTCTTTTCTTTCACTGACCCTCTGCCTTTCTGAGCATCATGTCCCTCTTCAAGGAACAGCATCTCCTAGCAACATGCTCAAAGTATGTGAGACAAAGCATTATCATCTTTGCATCCAAGGATCACTCTGGCTGCACTTTCTCCAATACATATTTGTTTGTTCTTTTGGCAGTCCATGGGATATTCAATATCCTTCTCTGACACCACAGCTCAAAGGCATCAATAATTCTTCTGTCATCCTTATACATTGTCCAGCCCTCAGATGCATAGCAAGTGATTGGAAAGACCATAGATTTATGTAAAAATGGTTTACAGATATTCTCACATCAGCCTTATGAGATGGATTAACTCAGTGACTGGGGTAATAGGGGTAGGTATGTCAGAGATAATAAGGTTGGCTCAAGATAGAGCAGGGTTCAGAGCTGTTGTACATAGGGTTGCTGTGAATCACAAGCAACTTGACAGCACATAACAACAACAACAACAGCAACCTTACGAGAGAAGCACTGTTATTTCCCCTATATTAAAGATGAGGAGCTTGAGATACAAAGAAAGTTACACATAATTTTCCCAAGGTCATGTAGCTAGTTCCTATTAGAACCAGGATTTGTAACAAGCAGTGTGGCTCCAGTGTGCCTACTCTTAAATATTATGCTACTCTACTTTGGAAGCAGGAATGGCATCCACTTCCTAAACAACATGCCTCTGGAAACTCTATGAACTTTGATAAATGTCAATAGTTGAAGAGGGGATTTAGGTCTTTTGTTCATAGGGTTGCTATGAGTTGTGCTCAACTCGAAGGCAATCAACAACAATAACTACACAGAGGAAGAGAACAAAAGGAATATGGTGGGATGGAAGAAAGTTCGGGAAGCTCAGAAACAAACTTTCATTGAATATCTACTAGATGACCATGTCTTAGATAAAAAACTCAATAGCTTATGCCATTAAAAGGAATATAGTTCTTGGTGAGGAAGAGAGTGAAAAACATAATGTATTTCAAAACAATGTGATAATTTCTGAAAGTAGTATAAAGAAGTATGTACAAAGAACTCTGAGGACACAAAGAATGGGCAGCTCCTACAACTCAGGCTGTAGTGTCAAAAAAAGCTTCTTAGAGGAAGGAGGGAACTTGTATTTTGAGCAAAATGAAGTGGAGGAGAGTAGTCCAGGCTCAGGAAAATGATGAGAGAATAAAGTCTGACGAGGAATACTTTAGGGAGGAAAAATCCAATAAGCAGCACTAGAGCTTAATAAATATTAATTTTCTTCAGTTTTTTTTTTCTCTTGGAAAGTAATTTCCCCCCCCATACTTCCTTAGAAAGAATCTTATGGATGGAACTTCTGAGAACAACAACAAAAAGCTATACTGACTCCCTTAAATTTGAGTCAGTAAAACAACTTCTTTCAAGGACTACGAACCTAAATTTCTCTGACCCAGAGACCATAAGAGCTAGATGATATCTGACCACCACCAGTGATTCTCTTAAAGGAATCAGAGCAGAAGATTCCTGATAGAGTGGGGGATAATGTAGACAAAACGAAACAAAACAAAAACAACCTTCCAGAATAAAACCGAAAACCCACAAAAAGGCTAGATTTACTGGTTCTACAGAGACTCATGGAACGCTGGAGACTATGACTCTTAGCTGTTTTTTGAACCTGGAAAAAAATTCACCCAGTGGTTCAACCTGCAGTCAATAGACAAGATCACAAGGTGGCCAACAACACCAGGGAGCACTTACTCCTTAAAATAACCAATGATAAAAGGTCAATAAACCAGAATTTTCCCAAGGATAACACTTTTGAAGGCAGTAGGAAGAAGGATTAACCGAAATGAGTATAATTGTGATGTGGGTAACGTAAGAAATGTTTTATAAATACAAGTGAATGATGAGATGAAAACCCAATTTGCTTTGTAAACTTTCATTCAAATCTCACACACACACACACACACACACACCCCAGAGTTTCACTCAGCATTCCACTACTTGGTCATAAAACTAGCTCAGTACAAAGTAACAACAAAGTACAAAGGAATATAGTTTGGTTGCAAAGAGAACTGTTTTTGTTTACCTCACGTGGATATCAAGCTGTTTCAGAAGTCGTCCATATTCTTCGCATAGAGTTTCCTTCTCCTTTTGCAACCTAGACAACTTCTCTGACAGTTTCTGGTTGCTCTTGCGATGCTGAAAAACATTTTTTTTTTGTTTTTTAAAAAATGAGAATATTTTGTACTAGTAGGAGTGTGATGTTTGAGGGGACATAAACTGGCAAAGTATTTCTTTGAAAAAGTGCATTGTGAGTCTGCCTCCAGAGATCACTGTGGGTCTAGCTCTGCGATTTTTATGTGTACAGATTTCCTGACGCCTGCTCCCTCAGTCTTGCTAAATGGTTTTGTAAGCACCTGATTCTCTATATTAAAAATCTTCCACTTTGAAATACACAAAGTGTAATCTGACCTAAAAATAAAGTTTTCTTGACCTAAATCTAAGCAATATTTAGTCCTCTAAGTGACCTCAGTGGACATTTATTTATCTCTATCTAGCTAATCTCCTCCTGTGTGATTAATTACCTTTGAAAACTGCTGGAGGGTCAGCTATGGTTTGGTACTGACTTGATGGTACACAACTCCAATAACAACAACAA